GGACGACGATGTAGTGGGTGCTAGAGGCATTTTCCTTGCTGCCACTACCACTATATTTAATTACACTGTCTTTATGTAATAAGTTGATTAAGATCTATCACCCCATAGTCTGTGGGCTCTGTAATGGTAGGAAGTGGCTCTTCTACTTCTGTAGTCTTAGTTCTCAGAAAAGTGCTAGACACTGAGATGAAACAGTCCCATAATCAAGAAAGTAGAAAGCATGCCAGTTTCTATTTTACAAAAAGACAGTTTAGTATAGAAGGATATCATGGCACACAACAGAGTGTGCAAAGTGAATTTACTGAGAGCTAATAATTTAATTACAACACACCTAGAAAAATACCTAACAGATAAGAGTCATAAAATACATTTGTATATTCATTCAGCCACGTGTTCCTCGGGAAGGACTTTTCTGTATTAACTTCTCTGTATAGATGCCTTATGTATACAATGTGGTGTTGAACAATGTGCTTTCTAATATCTCTTCTAGTTTTGAAGTTACTGTTTCTTTTAGTTTAGATTCTCTATGCTTTTTAAGGTGTTTTGAATTGTGTGCCTACCCACAGAATAAAGATATGCTGAGTGATAGCAAGTATGTACCACACCAGGAGGGAAAGGTGTGCTCCTACACATATACACAAAGGATGGTACAGATTTGCAGACAGCAACTACCCTTGAGGTAGTGACCTCAAGGAAAGCAACTTTATTCCCGTTTTGCATGCACTCCAAGATATATGAATATTTTAACGTGATTTATAATTTTGTTTCTGAGACTTATATTTTCCTTTTTGTTTCTGTTATCATTGAAATCTAAAATCTGATTCCTGAATCGTCAGCTTCTGTCAGCATCTATTAAATGTAGGCACTTAATAGCTTTGTGTGTGCATGCGTGTGTGTGTGTGTGTGTGTGTGTGTGTGTGTGTGTTTATTTCTATGTCAGACTATCTCAGGGGAGCTGTGTGTGTGGAGCTGTGGAGATACAGTTGACTGGAAGTCTTATTTCACCACTTTTTAGATGTTTGACTAAAAATCTCTGAGCCTCCTCTTACTTTTCTGAATATAATGAGAATAATCATGCTTCTTCTTAAGTAGTTTTGTGTCTTAACTAACTGAATGACAGTTGAAAGGGCCTAACCTGGCATTGCTGTATAATGGGCACATAGTTATTACGAGCTCCTTTAGTTCTTTTTGTGTCAGAATTGTACATTTAGGTTAGAAAATGGGGGAGGCAGGTGTAGGTATGGGTGTTTTATTCATAAAGAGAGATAGAGGTTGAACTGGGTAGGAATGGGTTAAAGGAGTTAACAGGCTGCCCAGCTGGGCTGGTTCTCAATCAAGGGCCTGCATAAAAAGTCAGCAGGGACAGAAGTAGGGGCTAATCATGCTGAGAGTGCCTTTGGAGGCCAGCAGCTGAGGAGTTGCTCATCTTTTGGTTTAGCCTGTTGTCAAACCCTGGGGGGGTGGGGGTGAAGGGGACTGGTAAAGGGGATGGCCTTTGTTACAACAGAGAGAGAGAGAGAGAGAGAGAGAGAGAGAGAGAGAGAGAGAGAGAGAGAGAGAGAGATTTTATATTGAGCCTGACAAATAAAAGACCAACCTGAGCCATCTGGCTCTACAACATATGGGAAACACAGATTTCTATTGTAGATGACCAAAATACTAGTCTGTTGAATCTTAAGGCATTTGACTATCGGGAAGAATTAGAATAATGCAATAAAGAGCTCTTTAGAAGGTGACTCTTAAAGTGAGTGGTGGAAACAAAAAGGTTTATATGTTGTGAAGTGATCACTGATTTTGGTGCAATGCATTTTATTACAGGTTTCTGATGGTTAGAAATATTAACTTACTGATGCTTACGAGCAGCGGGGAGAATGGACGTAAGCTGGCTGAGGAGGCAGGGACTGCTCTTCCTGCTCAGGCTGACGTGGGCCTAAAGTGCTCCCTTGTGTGCTGTGTTTATAAACTGTCACTGACTCGGGGAAACAAAGATGCAACACAAAAACCAAAATCGGTTTTCAATTGCCCCAAACAAGAGTTCTCAGAAAGCCTTACGGAAGGTGGTTAATTAATTTTAAAAATGTATCAAATTATTTGATAATCCCTTTAGAATTTTTTATTTTTAGCAAGTTGTTTTGTTTTCTGTTTCTTTCGAGATTGGGTTCTTCAACCCTTACTAAAAGACTAGGACAATATTAATGAAAACTTCAACTATGAGAGTGTTTGAGAGAAGAGCAGCAGAGATTAGTAATTTCCTTTCTAAGCATAAAACATTTTCAAAGTCTGTAGTTGAAGAGTACACAAGAATAACTCATTGAAAACCTCAATGAATGTACTATGTATAAAGATTAACAAAATATTTAGTAAACTCTTAGATCTTTCAATCTAACCCAAATTGATTAGGGCAAGATTGAGAGTAAAATAAAGCTTTTATTAAGTTGATTTCTAACTTGTGGGGTAAATTCTAACATATCTAAAAGTGAGGCGGTGTACAGAAGGGTAAAAATGGGTATTCAGTATTGTTTAATTGTCTTGCTAATTTGTAAAGAATGCTAAGTGACATCTGCAAAGACAGAAGGGTGACAAGTGCCAATATTGACTAAGTGTTTAAATAAAGAGGCCTCGAATAACCAGAAATATTAGCAAGAAGTTAATGGGCAACAGCTTGAAAAAGTAAAAATACTTTTGTGAGAGTATACCGAAGCTGCAGATGCTCGACCTGTGCAGACTTTGTGGTGACAGGGAGCAGCGGAGTACATAATAGTAACGCCTGGCATTCAGAGAGCATCTGTCTTTGGGGATTTCAAAGCACTTGGGGCGTGTATTATCTCATTCAGCACTGCCCCCTTTTGTCTGGCCTGGTCCGAGCAGTGGCAATGGGGTATGCAGCCAGCATGCAGGCTGGAGACTTTGTCATGTGTTTAATGACATAAAGGCAAAGTGTCTGGGGCAAAGGGCGCTTCAGGGAGCAAAGAGGCTCATTGATTTTGCACTTGGAAATTTCAGCTAGAAACTGGGCTGTGACCGGTCTCAGTTTGGTTTCCTTGCACATGATTTCCAGAAGGCAGAGGAGGAAGTAAGAGGAGCCGAGAAGGCTGGGGAAAGGTATTATTTTGGTGGAATTGAGCAGGTAGAGATTAAATGCCTCCAAATTCACACCGCACATGTGGAAAGGGGAATAAGCCTCCCTCATGTGGCACTCTGGGTTTTCAGACGTGGAGTCTGCATAAAAACATATTATAACCCAGTATGGAACACAGGCGATGAACTAGATAGGGCACTACAACCATTCCATTGTGTCAGACCATCCTAGAAACTGATGACACAAGTTTTTCCTTGGTAGGAAAAAGATATAATTTGGAGTCAATGCAGAGTTGGAAAATTACCTTGTGACTAAGTATACGGGTGAGGGTGTCGGGGGGCTGCAAGATACAGGTTGAGGAAAATTATTGAGAATAGACATTATAAATCTGGCAGTATGGAAATGAGATTTAAAAACCCTTCCTTTAAAAGAAATCTTTTGTATAGTAAGACAACTCCTACTAAATTCATATCATATTTTTGTTTGACAATAGTATTGTATACATAATAAGATCTATCACTACTTTTAGTCAGAGGGACACATCTTGCAATGTATAAGCATGATGTGATCAATACACACCAGGCAGAGGTTTATGTGTGTTGATTCCTAGCTTAAAACAGCCAACAATAACTATGAAAGATCAAAATCGACCTGTCCATTCTGGAAAATACAGTCCTTAGGTTTATGTAGGTGTTTTTCATCAAAAGAATGTGAACAACTCCTAAAATTTCATAATCGTTCTCTTCCCAGAACTGTTAAACTGTAGCAACTTAATTTTGTGTCTTCCCAAAAGCCCTCACATGAAGGGCAAAAGCAATAGAGAAAAGTCAAAAGTATAGAAAATCAAGCAGCTTTGCTCTAAAATCATATGACGTATCTCCATCCACACATTCAGAAAGAACTTTCAGGAATAAGCATCCCCAGGATTCCTTCAGGAAGTGGTAGCTGTAAGCAGTATGAGCCATTTCCTATGATTCTGCAGCAGGCTTGAATACATCCTCCCTCTCTGTACTTACAGTAGAAACAACCGATTAAAGGAAACAGTCAAGCAGCCACATTATACAGAGAGTGCACAGAGACAATTAATGAAACGTGATCAGTCTCGACATTTTTCATATTGCCAGGGGAAGTGTGCAGAGGATCTTATTACCTAATACACTCTTAAGCGTACTGACAAATGCTGGGCACAGTGCTCACTGTCCTGGTACATACATATACATATGTATCCCTTTCTTTTCCAAAGTTTTGTTAAACACATACAAAATGCCTCCAGATAATAAGTAGAGCTGCTCAAATGCCAAATCCCATTAACAACATCTTATACTGGGTCTCTTAAGAAGCATTTTTTTCAAAACTGACCCTGCAGATTTTATCCAAAGTATGTTGACCTCCAAGGGTCATTCCAGGGAGTCTGTGCATTCAGTTTCTAAACATCAACAGGACCACTGAAACATGAAATTGCTGTGTCCAAAGAAATAAAGCCAGCTCCTAGCTGTTTTAAAAGAAGCTCCTTCTGTACTGTGTTTGGTAGTGGGTTTTTTGTTTGTTTGTTTGTTTTTGTATTTGTTTCAGTATTAACATCATGATTTGATCAAAAGATGAAATTAAATAAATGAGCAAGTAATAATATGTAGCTATTTCTTCAACTTTCCTGTTTAATCCTGCACAAATGAGTTGGCAGAGTTTGTAGACTGGCTTATATTTAAACAACTACAGGCTTTCAAACTAATTAGAGAATTTGCAGAATTTGGCAGCTTCTGCTAAAAATAAGAGTTCAAAGCTGAATGTTATGAAAACGACTGAAAGTTTCCAAGGAACAACTATAATAAAATATCAGCACGGCCCTTGGTATCTCTGTTTCCTCTTGTACTGCTTTTCTTTACTTTTCATGCTACTTGATAGAGGAAGCTACACGACTTTAGTGCTCGCTTTGGCAGCACATAGACTAAATTTGGAACGATACAGAGATTAGTACAGCCCCTGTGCAAGGATGACACACAGTTTCCTGTGCCAAAACATTGTCACTCACTCTTGGCTTAATTTACAGAATCAATGCATCAGTGTTTTCATTATTTCTATGATAAAGTATCTTTTATAAGTATTGAAAATTTTAAGGTTAAAACATTATTTCATTTGTCCTAAACAGTCCATTGTAATATTGGATTTCTCTCTCTCTTTTTTTTTTTTTTGCTAAGAAATTGCTGATGTTTTAATATAGTTTTTGAAAGAAAAGATTTGCCTTGAGTAACAGTTTTTCAGGAATAGTTCATAGACTGATTAAAATACATATCTATTAATTTACAAATTTGAAGTAAATTGTAAACAAGAATTGATTAAGTATAGTCATAGAGAAATAAAATATTAAGTAAAGTGTTGTGACTACCACATGAAGAAAGCAAGGTCTTTAAAAGATGAGTGACTTTCTCCAAATATCTGTGCACATGATAAAACCTGGTAAGAAAATTGTCCCTTCTACTTTGCTGTTCATGCATGAATTAGGATACCAAATTCTTTTGCAAGAATGCCCTACCTGCATATGAAATAGAGATAATCATGAAGAGAGACATTTTGATTCTTGTATCAGAAGTTCTATTACTGACCAACCAGAAAGACCACAACATGCATCCAGGACAGAGCAGTGACGAGGCCACAGTGCATGTACTCAAACAGAGACATGACAGCTTTTTCCCTAATATATCTTTTTGATCTCACAGATACATAATGCAATTAAGAGTCACCGGAACAACAGACATAGAAACTGGACATTTTGGAATCTGTCCTTTAGCACATTATAGCTAACAAAAACAGCACTCAGAACACAACTTATCACGCAGAAATTTGCTAATAGGTAGAGTTTTAGTCAAATTGGTAAGTGTTCTCAGATATATGGAAAATATTACCAGACGTTTCTCTCTCCATTTTTCTCTCCTTATTGTAACAGTCCATAATTGCAAGCCATCTGAGTCATAGGATCAAAGAAGGACGTCAAAGCCTCTTCACTCAGTAGCCTAGGTAGGACTAAAATATTAATTTGAAAAACATAGTTGTATTTAGTTGAAGATGATATCTGTATAGATGCAGCAAAGGTGCACAATGCTGTTCCTTCTCTTTTGACCCCTTACCCCCATCTTGCCATTCTCACTTTAATGTCTTGGGATAGCCATGCATTCTTTTTTATTTAGTTTTTCAAAACTGTATAACTTTCACTCCCACACCCTCCCTGATAAAGCAAAGTCTTTTGAAAGTCCCAGTTGAGCACACAGTCACAGGGCTCAGGTTTCCAGTGTTTATAAAGCATGTGACTCTGCAGTTTTCAAATTCTGCTCTTCTCAGTCCTCTCACATCAAACCCCACCTGCCTGTCCTCACCACCACCTTGCTGGCTGCCTCCCCTTAGGCTTCTGCAAATGCTGACATTCTTTGGTGTGTTCTCTTTAGCTCTCAGCCCTCTCATTAGGACCTTTCAGCTGAAGAGCAGCCTTGATCTGAACTGAAACCCTTACTCAGAATTACAGGTCCTTAAGCATAATAGGGTCTTGAGCATCACCGTTGAAATATCTAAGAGGTATTTCCTTCTAAACTTATCCAAATTCTCTCCCCCCCTCCCTCCTTCTCTCTCTCTCTCTCTCTCTGTCTCTCTCTGTTTCTCCCTCCACTCTCTCACTCTCTTTCTCTCTCTCCTTCTCCCTCTGTCTCTCTCTCTCTCCATTTCCATAGCTCCTGTCTCCAGCCTTGTCTTTTATTCTCACTCTAGTTAATGACTCTGTTCTCCAATCAGCTAAGAAAGAAATGTGTGAACTATCTTGCTTCCTCTCTCGCCTTCGCTCTTCTATCTAAATGGTCATTAAGTTCTGTCAGCGCACCCTGTAAACTTCGTTCAAATCTGCCTGTCCCTTTTGCAGGAGGCACACTCCGCACCCTCATTATCTACTTTGTAGACTCTTGTCAGAGATTTCTGAGCTCTCTTCCATCAGAACTGCCCCCATGTAGTCTGTACCTTGTTGGCAGATTCTAAAATTCATAGCCTATCATGTTGCTTTCTTCTTGGTAATTCTGTAATGTCATCCCTTTGCTTGCAAGATAAAGTCTCATATTGTTCATATATGACATGAGGCTCTCTGTGATCCAGCCTGCCTAGCTGTCTCAGGTCACCTAATGTGCTTTGTACACGTTTCAGGCTCTAATCACACTAAAATATTTATGATCATCTTCCTTTCTTTCTTTTTGTCTGTAAGTGATTTTTGTCTATCCTTAGCCTCTTAAATATTATCCCTACACTGATAACTCTCAAAATTATATCTCCTCTATGGACAATGTCTCTAACTTCAGAATAGCCATGTATCTTCTACCGGTATTCATTTACATGTTTATTTAACACACATCTCAGGCTTACCATGCTCCAAAGCAAACTCCTGATGTTTTCCAAAGATCGTTTTCTTCTTAGTCTCCCCCATATTAAGGTAGGACAGTTTCCTATTTCTTAGTCATTAAGATAAGATTTAGGGATCATCCTTGATATTCTTTTTTTCTTATACAAAAGTTAATAGACACTGCCAACTCTGTCTTAAAAATGTTTAAAAATAAAACCTTCACTGTTTTTTGATGTCTTACTATAGTTCTTTAACTAATTTTGCACACATTATTGTCCTATTCTTATCAAAGCAATCGCTGCTTACCCCCCTACCCCAGGTATTCATTTACTTAACTGAGAAGTTTATATGCTTTGGTCCCTGCATTAAAGGAGAAACCTCTAAATTTTTGTCTACTAAACTTTTCAGTACTCAATCCACTTATCAACTACTTGTGTAATATTTTTCTTGCATGTATTGCCTGTGTGTTGTCCTTTAATCTTTAACATGCTTATCTGTAGTTGGATTGTACAACATGGAAAGTAAGGATTGTATCTTATTTCTTTTCAGCCCTACATTTTGGTCTAGAGTATGAGATCCAGAAACGTTTGTTCAAGTTATTCATTATATAAAATTACAAAATACGTGATTCTAAGTCTTAAGATTATAAATTCATATAATTTTGTGTCTAGTGGTTCTTTAATTTGACAATCTGTGAGGAAGAAATAGTTATATGCATACTATAACATGTAGCCACAATGCTGGCTTGAGGAATCAGGTATAAAATCTATCTCTTCGGTCAGTAGTGATGTGGGAGCCCAATATTCCTGATTTGTAGCTATATATATTATTTATCTCTTTGACATTAGACAGATATTGAACTCAGATAGAACAATTGTTGGAGAGTTTGTTCCTAGCCTATTGGTTGTCATAGGGTGTTGCAAGTTTTAATGAGTGATATGGCCCCTTTTCTTTTCAAATGCCCACATATGGAGCCATTTAATATTTTTATAATTCAGGGTTCAAGATTACCAAAATTCCATTCATAAATTTTCCAGGGCTCCAGGGTTTTAGAACTTGCAGAGAATATCTTATACATTTCTTGCTATTATCTCTTACTACCATCTTATTGTTTCTTACTAGTATCTCTTACTGTTCTGTGTGATTGCATGATTTGTGATAAAGCATGTATCATATATCTTTGTGCCTCCATTTTCATCATTTGGAAGAATAGAAACAGCTGTGAGTCCTGAGCAGCACACAGAGGTCCCTAACAAAATCCTCTGGGCACTATGAAAATTGAAATTGTAGTTTTTTTTTTTTTTTTTTTTTTTTTTTTTTCAGAAAGAGAGTTGAGTTAGACACAAAGAAGTGGGCTTTACCCAGTGGTAACTCACCTTACTGAATAGCCCTGGTAAGTTGCACTCAGTTCACCTGGATGCTGTAGAATATGCCCAAAAGGGAAGATTAGCTTCTCGAAGTAAATGCTTCATTTAAAAACAAATAACTGTAATTCTGAAGCTGGCCGGTTTCTGCTCTACTTTTCTTAATCTGTTAAACAGATCTTAGCATCAATCTCTCTTTATCCTATGATTATACAATCATATATTTTAAAGAATTTTGTAAAAATAGAGCATATTGCTAATAAAATTATAAAATGTAATCAAGCTCCCCCATTCTCACACAAAAGAATGCAGTGCTGTATGCAGAATAATGAGTTTTGAGTCCTGTGGTTTTTCATATACCTATTTCTCCCCAGAGACAAAAATAAACAAATACATTGAATAAAATAAATAAATACATTAGATAAGTGAATTAAAATTGAGTAAATAAATAGCAGGACTTTAAGGCAGCAAGAACCAGAAATGTTTCAGGAGCAGTTTGTCTTCACACAAGGCACTGCAGAAGGCGGGACAGCCAGGTGAGTTTCACGGCTCCCTCCTGAAAGGTGGCTTCTGATTTTCCTGGAAGTTCACCAGGACACGACGTGCTCATTACACTAAGCACACTCCCAGGTGAGTCTGTCGGCTTGCCTGCATCACTTAGGAGTGCTAGGAGTGCAAGCTCATTGCATTATAGTTACATCACCTTCATCCTCCTTTCCCTCCTGCTCCAAATTATCCCAACGGTAATTTATACAACATCTCATAGAAATCATACGCTATGCTGCTTTTCTTTCCCCCAGCTTTATTGAAAGCACATTTGACAAACATTTCTAAGGTGTAAACCATGATGGTTTAGTAGGGCACAGTGGTGTATACCTGTAATTCTAGAATCTGTGAGTGTTGAAGAAGGAAGACTGCTGGATGTTGGAGTCCTGGGCCAGCCTGGGCAACACAATGAGACTTCCTGAAAACAAAATAACTCCTCAACACGTAATGAAATTACTACCATAATCAAGGTGACTAACTCACCCTTCATCTTACATATTTATCATTTTTGGGGAGTTGGTGACAAAAATTAAAATCTTTGTAGAAAATTTCATGCATACAGTACAATACAGTGATGTTAAATATAATCACGCTGCTGTATGTTGGATCCCTGGAACTTATTCATCTGCCTTTCTGCCTCCTGCCCACAACTTCCATCTCATCCTAGTTTCCTCTTCTTTGAGTTTGACTTTTTCACATTTTACATATAAGTGAGATTATATAGTATTTGACTTACCATGTCTGGT